TGGGGGGGGGGGGGGGGCTTTTAGTAACAGCTTTCCTACTCTAAAAATGCTAGCATTTTAAATAATTTTGGTGCTAGATGTACCAGAGAACGTTAAAGTACATAGACTTACTGAACGTTTCCGCAAATGTCACGCGCATCTGACTTTAGGGAACTTTTTTCAACTGTGTAGTTTTTTTTTATACACCCTGCATGTATATTAGTCCAGCGTGGAGTTCCTCTAAAGCATCAATAAAAGCCATTGTTTCTCAAAATATGTAAGACGAAGGTCACAAACGGCTGCACCGCAATGGTTTGAAGAAACGTCGGTGCACACATGCATGTCCATGCAGCAATTTATATCAAGCGCATGCGCGGCTTTATATTACAGAACCGGTTGTGACCGGCTACAACCCGTTTATTTATCCAGAACTTTGGATTATCGGTGCATCAAAAGTGGTGGAGGAAATTAGCAATTTAGCAGACTGAGGTTTCTCCTCAGAAACCTCTACTTGCAGTGTGATAAAAAAAGACGATTCGGTTTTTCTCGAAGAAAATACTGGCGGTTAACGATAACGGAGAAAAACATACAAAATTATGGATCCCCTATTAGAGACCCCCGTCCAGACAACACCTTTGACCATAACAAATGTTGCTACTATAGTAACTCGTTATCACTTAGAACAGTAGAACTACCAGCGAATCACGCTTGTTTGTCGCCACATTACCAAACGTCAGTTATGTAAGAGCATGTTTATATTTTGCCCAAGTGTTTCGCCGACTTTGTCTAGGTTCGAAACCACTCTAACGAAGAAAATACGCAAGTATTATGATTGCTGCAGCTAACCATACTACTTGATTTATCATATTCTCGCAAAATTTTGACAGAGTAGGTAAGTATAAAAGCTTTTGACTGATGCATCATATCACAAACTTGCATGCAACAGCTACTTGTATTCAGAATAAACGTCTCAACGACAGATGTTGTAACCGTATTCATGAATAATTTATACTTGTAACAAATTTGTTGGAAACAGAATACAAGAAGAAATACCTTCCTTGTTCCCAAGACAGTTTTTAATAGTTTTAGCAATAATAATTTATGTTTTAATAATTCCGTAGGTTATTGTTTTAAAGTAATGGTTTATAACATTTTTGTTTTATTTTTAACTTATGTTAATTATGCATTCAGGATAGGTAACGAATTCGCATGTCAACAGCACACTTGGGCAGCTGCTTGGTTCATCCATGTGAATCCTAATGATGACCCTAAAATATAACCGAAGCAAAATGAAACTACCTAGTCCTAGTAACATCAATTTCTAGTATTAAATTTTTAAAGTATTGAATCACTTCGAAAATTGCTTTCCGTATTTTCTGGCTGTCAGAGACTCAGAATTGATATGAGCAGATGGGTGAGCCTTCTGTCCTTGCGCGAATGAAATGAATTATTAATCATTATTGCAAATTTTCTCTTTTAAATCTTGTATATTGCAATAGTTTACATAAGAATAATATTTTAAATACTCCTACCTGCAAATTACTTGATCCATTCCTTAAGGAGGCTCCCTACAGTTTCCAATATATGTCAGTGTTTTAAACTAAAAGCTATTTGAATCTAAAAAAACTAATTTTTTGCACAAGTCCTTGTTTCCTCTTATATAAAAGAGTAATTTTAACCCACAATCGCTACTTTTCGCGTTACCATGACAACATGACGTCACCATCTTTATGGCCTATACAGGGTGTATAAAAAAAACTGAACCGATTTGAAATTGCTCTCAATTTCGCAAAACACCTATTTGTATCCGGTTTTTTATATATATAGCTTCTTTGGATAATTATAATGTAGAATAGTGAAAAAAATTTCACGAACTCAAATTTTGTGAACCAGGGGGGCGTGTCTTTTCCAACAAACTAAAAATGGCTCGAGCACAAAATTTAAAAGCTGTAATCATATTTTGAGTTAATAGATGGAAAGTTTGTCGGGGTTTTAATTACTGTACAAAATTTCAGACAATTTGGTTTAGTTTAAGCCCTTTAACTATTCATTTTGTTCTAAAAAATCAGCCTTTCGCATTACCTAATTTGCATATTGCTGACATATGCAAATTAGGCAAATGCATTAATTCAGCATGCAAATAGCTGATTTTTAGGAAAAACGTAACTTTGCGTGAATAGTTAAGGGGCTTAGACTAAACCAAATTGTCTGAAATTTTGTACAGTAATTAAAATCCCGAAATATTTTCCATCTATTAACTCAAAATATGATTGCAGCTTTTAAATTTTGTGCGCGAGCCATTTTTAGTTTGTTGGAAAAGACACACACCCCTGGTTCACAAAATTTGAGTTCGAGCAATTTTTTTCATTATTCTACATTATAAGTACCCAAAGAAGCTATATATATATATAAAAAACGGATACAAATAGGTGTTTTGCGAAATTGAGAGCAATTTCAAATCTGTTCAGTTTTTTTTTTATACACCCTGTATAACCACGGTGACCTACTTTTTTATTGTAGAAAATACATTGTTATGAAGTTTCGAATCTTTTTTGAAAGTTATTTGAAAATCGCCAGTGTAGTTTTCGAAAAACTTTTGAAAAGTTGAAATTCAGTTTCTCGAAAACTACACTGACGATTTTCAAATAACTTTCAAAAAAGATTCAAAACTGCATAACAATGTATTTTCTGCAACAAAAAAGGTAGGTTACCGTGGTTATTTGTCCGCTAAGACGGCTTTCTTGGTTAATATAGGCCATATAGATGGTGACGTCTTGTTGTCATGGCAACATGAAGAGTAGCGATTGTGGGTTAAAATTACTTTCTTATATAAGAGGAAACAATGGCTTGTGCAAAAAATTATTTTTTAGATTCGAATAGCTTTAGTTTAAAACACTGATATATATTGGAAACTGTACCCAATATTATGTCGAGATCTGCATTGTATCGAAGTTAATCTGTTCTGAAAGTGTACATAGGAACCGACCAAGTGGAAGGCTGAGGTATGCCGAATTATTTTTTGTGTTTTTCACCAATTTCACATCGATTGGCTTTCTAGGGGTTTATTTTCGATAGAACAGTGCTGATAAGGCAAATTTGCACATACTAATAACGTTCACGAAATTTCTAGGCTCTTCCCGCAATGCTCTATCCAAACGTGAACGATACGTGATTCGAAACGTTTTAAATACTTTTAGCGTCACGTCGCTTCCCAAAGCAACGTTTCCGTTAGCTTTGCATGGCGAGCATTATAGCCCGTGGGCCGTTGGCCAAAATTATTTCGCTTCGTGGCAACCCCCTGGGGAATAGATTTTCTGTAGTGCAATGCATAGTACCATAAATGCTTGATTACCACAAAAAGTTCCCAAGCAAAAAACTTGCCCAAACACCGAGAAAATGAGTGATCAGTGATTATCCTCTATTAAATTGTATTACAGCAAGAAAATGTAAAATTTTGTATTCAATTACAACAAAAATTACTTGCATCATCAGAAAGCTTACAAAAAAACGCATATAAGACTTTTATATATACAAAAAATTTTATATACAAAAAACCGCATATAAGACTCTCATTTGGAAAAACTAAGTCGAAATTCAAATCATTTCCGGCTGTGTCATCTTAACTGTCAGTCTATCTTATCCACATTTGACGAATTTGTGCATCTTGTTTCGAAAGACGAGGTGGGGGTGTTGCCATCTACATTCGGGAAGAGCTGAAATAAAGGAACGATCTGAGTTAATGAACATTGAGCCATCTGTGGAACATATTTGGATCGAGATTAAGGGTAAAAATAAAAACAGTACTGTATTGCTTGGAGTTTTCTATCAGCCAGATTTTGATCTTTCAAAAAAAACTGTTTGGATTGAAAAGTTTGAATCAGTTCTAGCTGCAGTTCACTTGAAATGGGACGGTATTATGATAATTGCTGGTGATAGTAATATCGACTTGTGTAGCTCTTCAAATATAGGAGAAAAATATCAGGCAGTTTTACACGCATTCAATCTCACCCAGCATGTCACAGCACCAACTCGTAAAGGAAAATGTCTCGTTGATCATATCATAACAAATATTCCACAAAATGTTATAGCAACGGATGTTTTAGCTACACCGGAAATTAGTGATCACGATATGCCGTATCTTATTGTAAACGTGAGATCAAACAGATTCGAACCAAGATTTAAATATATTCGCTCGGAGAGATTATTTAGTCCAGAAGCATTTCTACAAGATATTAGTGAACTGCCATTTTCAACCGTGTACGCTGTTGACGACATAGATGACAAAAACGATATATTTAATGAATTACTACGTAGCTGTATTGATCGACACGCCCCTTTAGTGCGTTGTAAGTTAACCCGTCCTCCCGCTCCTTGGCTTCAAGATGTCGACATCCAAAATCTGCAAAAACGTCGGGATGCTCTGAGGTTTATTGCCCATCAAACGCAGTTAGAGTCAGACTGGTCAATTTATCGCTCTGTTCGGAATAAGATTAAATCGGCTATTAAGACAGCAAAACATAATTTCTATAGGAAAGCTCTCTCATCTAAACGCTTAAAAAACGTATGGTCAGTAATTCATAAAATACTTAACCCAAATCCCAAACGAATAAGATCAGATCCAGCGGAGCTTAATAACTTCTTCGTGTCTACAACCCAACGCATTTTTGGAGTAGACTCTGGTCCAGGATCGGACATTGTTACCTATTTAGAGTCTCTACCCCAAGATAGAAGTGATAATGGCTTTAAGTTGAAACCAGTAACCTTCAACGATGTTTGTCAGCAACTGAATATCATCCGAAATGACTGTTCCACTGGCTATGATCATTTACCAATTAAATATTTAAAGCTGACTTCGCAACACATTCTTTCTCCATTGACCCATATTGTAAACGCTCATATCGCAGATGTCGAAAGTCCTCATGGAAAGTAGCCGTATAAGTCCGATCCCAAAAAATAACAATCCTGTAAACAATAGCGATTTTAGGCCAGTATCGGTGTTGCCAATTCTATCCAAAATATTTGAACGTTTATTGTTGTCCCAACTGGTTCAATGTATTGACCAGAATACGTTGTATAAAGAAACTATGTCTGGGTTTCGAAAAGGGCACTCAACCGCTGTGACTTTACTTAAGCTCAACGATGACATCTTGAAGGCTATGAAGAAGGGCGAAATAACACTAGCAGTATTCACCTACTATTCGAAAGCTTTCGATACGGTAGATTTCCGAATTCTGTTAAAGACGCTATATGATCTTGGGTTTCCAACGGATTTTTTGCTTTGGATTCACAGTTACTTAGACGGTAGAAAGCAATTTGTCCAGATTGATGATCGTAAATCTGGATTGCTAACGGTATAATTTGGTGTTCCCCAGGGATCGATATTGGGCCCAGTTCTTTAACCTGTACATGGCTGACTTACAGAATGGCAAATTTGATTGTAATTACTTACAGTATGCCGATGATACGTCCTTATATCAGCACACCAAGGTTAAAAATTTGAGCAAATGTGTAGATGATATGCAGAAAGAACTGGACCGTGCGAATAGCTGGTCTAAGAATTCGAACTTGCTAATGAATCCTACCAAGACAAAAACGATGGTCTTTTCAACATCCCAGATGTCCACAACTCATAACCTGGCTTCGTTGGATCTTGTCTCGATGCATATCAATCATCAAAACATCGAACGAACAAAGTCATGGAAGGTTTTGGGTATGAAGCTTAACGAACACCTTAAATGGAACCTTCATTTAGACGAAGTTATAAGATCGTGTTATGCTGTTTTGGCTGACTTGCGACGGTTAAAGAGATTTACAACATTTCATTTAAGAAAACAATTGGCTGAATTGCTAGTATTGTCAAAATTGGACTATTGCAACTGTCTATACGAGTCATTGCCTGCATACCTTTTAAAACGGCTGCAAAAGGTTCAAAACTCGGCTGCTGGTTTTGTTAATGGCAGGTATTCTAAAGCTGGAGATGTGGTCTCAATTGGTTGGTTACTAATTAAAGAAAGAATCGATTACAGTATTGCCAAACTTGCATTTCAAGCTCTTAATGACGAAAGATGGCCAGGTTATTTAACACTAGAAGTAAAAGAAGTTACTAGAGTTTTGAGAAGTAACAGTGATGGTACTTTAAGACTCAAACACTCTTACATCGAAGATACGTTTCAGTATAATGCTGCAAAAGTTTTTAATGATATTCCTGATAATTTTAAATGTATGGATTTTAAAAACTTTAAGATTTCTTTAAAGAAACTTTTACTAGATCGTAGTAAGGAAAGACTAAACTTAGACTGATAACTTTTAAATTATTTTAACTGTTTGGAGATTTTCATATACTCCATTGTATAGTGACATAGATGTAAATAGTTTGTATTTTAATAGTAAGTCATTTTGTAATTTAATAGTAAGTCATAGTAAGTCCGATGAAGAGCCATGTAAATGGATATGCCATATTAAATCATTATTATTATTAAACAGTTTTTTGATCCTTCAAATATTCTTTGAGTTATTGCTGTTTTAAACGTGAAAATTGGCCCAAAATGTCGCAATAAGGACTGGGTACTAGGTCAAAAACGCGTTTTTGACAGCGTATAACTCTAAAACAATTTGAGATATAAAAAAAACTGTTTAAATGTCTTATATGTAGATTTGTGTAAGCTTTCTGATGATGCAAGTCGTTTTTGTTGTAATTGAATGCTAAATTTCACATTTTTTTGCTGTAATACAATTTAATAGATGATAATCACTGATCACCCATTTTTTCGGTGTTTGGCAAGTTTTTTGCTTGGGAACTTTTTGTGGTAATTGCGCATCTATGGTACTATGAATTGAACCACAGAAAATATATTCCCCAGGGCGTTGCCACGAAATTGCTTTTCTAAGCACTTTTTCGCACAACGGCCCACGGCCTCTGATCACAGACCTTCGTTTTCCATCGACCTGCGAATTTCAGGGCGGGCGAATACGTAGGCCTGTCTTCAGGCTAGGTGAGCATTTCTGCGAAGGCTCTAAAAATTGGATGTAAGATGTGAAAATTTAGTGGCAGAATCTGTCTAATATCATATGACATCCGAATTGCATCTTCCGTATCCATATCTTCATCTATGCCGGTCATTGTACCGCTTGGCGGCTGCCATTACGAAGGAGCACTTAAGCCGGACGGCTTTGCATAAAGGTATCGTAAATTGTCTTTTATTCCGGGTACATTATTATAGTTATATTGAAGAATCCCGTGTAATTTGTCATTTGGTTTCACTAATATGTTGACAAAAAATTCGTTGCAGAGCTGCGTTCGATGATCAGAGCATCGCTATATACGGTACATCGTAACCGTATATGATGTTCATTACTCGTATTTGGATTCGCTTCAGCGCAGTACTTAAAAACTCTGGAAGGTTGAAATGGAAAACTTGGCAAGAATATAGTGACAGTGAACAGATGCATGTAACGTAAAACTTGACTAAGTCGTTGGATGGTAGTTTTGCTCTTTTTGATTGAGACAGGAAATAAAGTCTTCTGGACGCCTTTTTTACGATGTTATGTGTTACGGTGTCCCAGAATTTTTATTGGCAGAGCTAACAACGTCTATCGTTCACGTTAAGGTTAATGTTTTCATATGTTGTTGGATTTTTTTTAAAGATATTCTTAGTTCTTTACATTTCTTCCGTTGGAACACATTGTCGTCAGGCAGAGAGATACCTCATCAGCCATTGTTTGCGCTAAATTTGATTTATCTTTTTCCACGAATGTGATTGTGTCATCAACAAATATTACGTTGCTGCGCTGGCTATTTCTAAATCGTTAATCATCACTAAGAATAGTGAAGGTCCTAATTGAGTACCTTGCGGGACACCGGCCACTACGGTCTTTCCATTCTGAATGTAAATCACATGATAATTTAACCCGCAGGGGCCGGTTGTTCAAAGCTGGGTTAGTTTAACCCTAACTTAAGTGGCTGTCTCACTAAGAACCATGCAGAGCGTTTCAGGTTGAAAATTAGATTTCCTTTATGTTTTTACCATGAACTACCTTTGTCCTAAAAGGTATTAAACTAATATTAGAATTTCTAAATTTTTCTTTTTTTTTGAGTTATGACGAATTTTTGTCTGGACTTAAGCGACACTGAAATTTGACCCCGAAAACGGCGGTCAAATGTGTGTTAAATTGTGCATCATAACTCGGAAAGTTTCGCGTCAAATTAAAAACTTTCAGCGTATTGAGACATATTCTTCTTCTTTTAGAATGTTGAAAGAATTTGAATGTACATTTTATTTTAAGCCTACTAGTCTCCATCCAAGGATGTCGGTATTTTCGTTCGCCGAACAACTAATGATTAGGTACAAAATTCAAACTAAAAATTCTCAAAAGTGCAACCTATACCTGGTGTCTAAAACACTTTTAG